CGGAGGGGACAGCATGTGGGCCGTGGGGCTCTCCACGGGGAGCCCTCTCCTGCCTCCCCAGCGTCCTGACCCACAGCTGATGCTCCAGCCACGAAACCTGAGTCTCTCGGGGGCAGTGCACTAGTTCCCGAGGAGGAGGAGAAGCCAGGGAAGGAGCCTGAAAAGGCGCGGCAGCGAGGCGGTGTCCCGCAGGACCAAACCCAGCGACTGGACCGCCCACACAGAGGTCCTCGGTGACCCTGGTAGCAGTTGCTGTGGTAAGGAATGCTGCCAAGGAGAGGGGAAGTGAAGAACCGGACACAGGTGGGAACGTTCATCTCAGGCAGAGTTCTGCCAGCAAGAGGAGCAGAGAAATGCAGCAGTGGCTGGAGAGGATGAGGTGGAGAGGGAACTTGAGAAGGTTTTTTCCTCTCCAAGAGGGGAGAGGTAACAGCAGGTTCCTATGTGAGTGGGTAGGATCCAGTGGGCAGGAAAAAATTGATGATGAGATGAACCCAGGAAACAATGCTCCTGAGTAGGTGGGAGGGGATGGACTCTAGAGCCCACGTGGACGGCGGGCCTCGGATGGGAGCCGTGAGAGCCCTGCAGGAGGGAAGGCAGAGGGCATGCGGAGAGAGGCTGACAGGTGGGGGCCTTGCAGATGTTGTTTTCCTAATACAAAATCAAGACATGTGGGAGGAAGTTTGAAAGTTGGGATGGTCCCAGAAAACCTAAGCTGATGGCCATCATGCCAATATTACCCATTTGCCATCTGGCTGATTTGCAGTGTACTCTCAGGAAAAAAACAACTTCACAAGTAATACAAAAGTCACGTTTCACTTTTCCTGTCTTAACATTCCTTCTCCACCACTCAGATACAATTAAACGATTACTGACTGAAATTCATATGTGGTTTAAGCAACAAAGTAGGCGTTGAGCCGTGTCAAATTTTGGCTGCTGTTTCAAGAGATGCAAAAGGCTTCAGCTGTCTCTGAGATACAGAGCCCACAGGGCAAGGTTGCTTGACATTTTCTTGGGCGCCCTGAGATGCTAACGCATCGACTGAGTAGCTCCTTCGGCTCATTGGTACTACGCAGAAGAGCCCCGAATCCAGAATGCCGCTGGTCCTGGGTAACAGAGAACCTGCTTGGTGACACAAATGAATGGAGGCCTGCAGGAGCTTCACCCCTTTAACTGTTAGAGGTTGCCAGGGTGACTGGTTCAGAGTTGGGAGGATTTGGAAAATCCTAATGTCTCACCAGTTTCAAAGACTTGACAGACTTTAATCCCATCTAAAGAAATTGTTGGTATCATGAAGTTGGCTATTTTTTTCTCCTTTATGATTACTCATTTTGTTAGCCATTTATATGATCTATGATTTTATGTCCAACAATAGGGACTGTCTCCAGAAAAGCAGCCTGCCTTCGTCTTTCAAAATAAAGTAGACATGTCCTTACTTTCTTGTCAAGGGAAATAACCACTTCCTACAGTTTGCAATCTCCTACTCATTATTTTAGTTCCCCAAGCTCCCATTTCGGATATCTACTGCAACAATCACACATTCTCAGAAAGAATCCATGAGCAGCAAATAAAGAGGATACGTTGGAAATACTATTACTCAGTCAAGTCATAAAAAACTAAGATGTCTCAAGAATACGATATAAAAGCAAAATGAGTTACAATATTATATTATTAAACAGCAGACAAGAAAGCCCAGATCCAGCCATCCTACTGAAATTAAAATGTACCCAATACAAATTATGTATGTGCATTCAAATAAATGAGAAGCTAACAGATCTAAAGGCAGACAAAAGTGTAAAAATTACTCAAGGATAAGATACTGCTAATTTCAGTTTGTAATCTTAAATTAGGATGAAAATATAAAATTTTACATAAAAGTAAGGACTGCATGACAGCTACATCTATGATGCACCAAAACAGGCCAGAGTTGAGAGAGCATGGGGTCTACTTCCAAAGGGCTTAATAATCAACAGAGATGAGAAAACACGCGGATCACTGGGTATAACAAACCTAGCAGTTAAAGACATATCCTGTAAAAACTAAATTATCTTCATGCCCAATGTAAACAGAATAAAGTAAAACAACACACCCAGGTAGTAGTGGCCATCATTACTTCAAAGCAAAGAAAAAGAATACAGATGGGGGTTTCATGAGACAATCAAAGTCAAGTCATTTTAGCTCATTCTTAAAAGAGCTCCCCAAGTCTTTCCCTAAGCCCCTTCCCCAAAGAAATGTCTGTTATTCCTCATGTTATTTATATCAGCACTGTCCAATAGAAATATAATGCAAGCACATATGTAATTTTAAATTTCCTAGTAGCCACTAAAAAAAGTAAAAAGATACAAGTGAAATTAGTTTTAATATTTTCTCTTATTATTTCACAAATTATTACTAGGTCAATATATAATCAATATAAAATAATTACTGAGACAGTTTGTTCTTTTTTCTCCTTGAGTCTTTGAAACCCAGCGTGTATGTTGCACTAACTGCACATCACGTTTCAGACAAGCCACATCTCAACTGCTCAATAGCCACGTGTGCCCAGTGGCTACTATCCTGGACAGTACAGGTCGGCAGAATCACCAAGTTAAAAATAACAGGATTATAAATTGGAATCAGAAGATCTAAAGATAGTGAAACTGGACTTTATTGCCCTAATCCAGCAGTTTCCCAAGTTTTTACATCCCCAGGTTCTTTCCAAGGAGTCTAAGAAGTCTTTTCTTTTCCAATACGAACTGTGCACCTAGGACCTGTAGCGAGGCTGGCTTTTCACTTGCTTCAAATACCACATTGCAACAATTGAACACAGGAGCACACGTGACAATCCAGCTCTTATTAAACCAGAAAGCAAAGAGAGAGATGCACAAGTGTAAAACAATGCTACTCTTCTAAATTTTCTTCTCTTTTTTTGGAAAATAGTTATTTTTCACTATAAGCCCTTTGAAGGTAGATCCTATGCTCTAATCAACTACTACCTGGTTCAGTGCTTAACATACGTAATTGCATCTCAGTCACTATTTTTATGTCATTTTATACATCTATCCTGGTTCAACTCTGAGATGTTAACACAAAAGTTTACTATATGATTAATGAGTATTTTAAACTCCTAATTTTTAATAAGGCACATATTGATAGCCCTAATGCACATAAACAAAAGCCCAATCACTTTATTAAGAGCACAGAGAGTTTAAGACCAAAACAACTTGAGAATCACTATTCTAATCAGGCAACTACAAGTGGAAGAAATGAAATGCAGTCCAAGTGTCAACACTTTCACACTTATCCATAAATTCCACAAAACAATTCAGTCTACCTTTAATTTTACTTTTGTAATTGGGTATGTGTTATGGAAAATTTATCACGCACAGTTCACATATGGTAATTGTCATGGAGGCAGTCTGATGAGAACTTTAGGTCCACACACCAAGGCCTTTAAAACACAAACTCATGGTTAAATTAAATCATACATGGCAGTTTACTCAGAACACCAAGCTAAACTGACAAATCATCCCAAAAGATAAGGTTTTTTTAATTTTCTGAAGATGTAGATGTATTCCCATATGCAATTATTTTTGTCATTATTTTCCAAAGTTAAAGTAATTCACAAATTGTAATCAATATTTTCAGCACTATAACAATAACATAGTACATATTTAAGGAATATAGTGCTCTCCAAGCTTTGTCAGTATGCCCCAAGGGAAATTAAGATGATAACCTTACTCCCATTTAGAAGGAAACACAACAGGAAAAGGTATTTTAACTGCCCAGGGCAAAATGCAACAGCAGAAATTAGCGAAGTACTGTGTCCATGAGAAAGCTGTGAGTAGTGGGAAAGCAAGGAAGAATATTAAAAATACAAATTCTGAACTGATGAGACTGCATAACCCAACCTCTAAAACCTGTGATGAAACCTCAGAATATCTCAAAGTCCCTGGAGAATATACAAAAATGTTAACTGTGGACAGAACTCTCCGGTCCCCATTTAACTTTTAAGGAAACATGGAAACAATTCAAACTTCTATTTTGTAAAAGATTAAAGTATACTATGGACATTGCAATTTCGAAAATTTTGTAAATAATATCCGAGATACTGTCAAACCAAAACGATTCCTTTTTGTTAACGGAAGAAGTGTAGGCTAATATCAGTTGATCTTTTCAAACTGATCACTGATGAAATTCTCTGAAGGAGAAAAGAAAAGGAAAAGGGATGAGGAATGTCTTCTGAAAACTTACTTCTCATATTAACGTCTATAGGATTTACACTGGCAGCGTGAACTTTGATAATAACTTCATTTGGATAGTGTATGATCGGTAGCATCATGTTCTGAGTGAATCGAAGCACTTCATTCTTCCCATATTTATCTATCACCCAAGCAGGCATGACAGTGCACTTGGGGGAGGTCGTACTAATCTCTCTAACTGGAGGCTTTCGCACCATTTGGCTTCTCCAGAAGCAAAACGCAACACATGCATTTCTTCCAAGCGCGCAGGTCTTCAGTAACACCATCGCGAACAGTGCTTGAATTGCCTGCCCTAATTAAAATGCACCGAGAGTGAATCAAAGTCTCACCCCTGAACTTGGTCAAAATCTGCCAAACACACTGGCCGATTTCAAAGTTGAGAATGCAAAAATGAAGTTGGCCTCATGGAGCAACTGAAACAAAAGGAAAATGGAATTATTCTGCTCTTCGGATCCGCAATGTTCCGGGTAACGTTCCACGCAGTATTCGGTGCATTCTCCTCCTCCTCCCTTACGACCCCCGGCCTTTTAAGAAAAAGAAAAACCCTAAACTCAGCACCCCTGGCCCGGGAGGGCCTCGGCGAGAGAAGCAAACTCCGCGGGCGGTCCGGGCGCCAGGAGGCCGTGCGCTGCCCGACCCGCTCCACGACCCCGGCCCGCAGTCTCCTCGCGACTCGCTCTTCGGCGCCGGGGGAGCCGCTGGGGCTCCAACCAATCGCGTGCAGAGATAATTTCCTCGGGCTGCAATTGGACCAATCAAAGAGCTTGGTGCTGAAAGGTTCGTGACGATCAAAGATGGCTGCGCCCATGTAGCCGGGAGCGGAGCGGGCGTTGACCTTACTCGTTCCCTCCTGTGCCCTGCGCCCTGGGCTGGGCACGAGGACCATGCTGGGCCGGACCCTCCGAGAGGTGAGTGGAATCGGCTGCTGAGGACCCAGGGAGGGTAGGACGGTGCGCGGAAGCCGCGCACCTGGCGTCCCCGGGCCTGTCCACGCATCTCGGCCAGGCCTGCCGCCTCCTTCCTGGACCTGGGTGGGGACTCGGACCTCAGGGCCCTTGGGCTGTGCTCTCCATACCCTTTCTGTAGTTTGGACCTGGGCAGGGGAGGCTTTTGCACCTCGGGCTGTGGGGCGTAAGTGCACACCAGCTTCTCGCAGACGGTTGTGTAGGCGCGAGTGGGGCCTGGGGTGGCGTCTCGGGGCGGGCTTCTGGTCCGGACCCTGGTTCCTGACGCAGGTCTCGCTAAGAGGCCCGGCACATCTGCCCTCTGCAAAATACAAAGGAGTGATCTTTGGCTCTTTCCCGCCTTGACATGTTCATTCTCGAGGCTTCAGCTGCCACTAAGGTAGCAATGATTCCCTAAACCGTTTTAACTCTAATTTAGTGACTTTGTCCCTGTAACAATATTAATAATAGCACTTAGTTCTAGACTTTGTGCTAGCTGCTTACATATCATTTGATCTTTACATCCACATTGAGGGGCTGATATTATTATTTCCATTTTATAGATTAAGAACTTCAAGCTCTTGTGTGAGGTCAAGACAGTTTATCAAGACAGTTGTTTTTGAAAGACAGTTCTCTTCCTAACTGAACTTGTGATACTATGTATAAAGCTAATGAAATGTTGTGCCCTTTGTTACAGAGGAGAACGTGCTGTAACGCCTGGCACCTTTTAACTCTAGGCTGCAATGGTGATTGCCTCCTGGACACCTCTTTCGTAGGTCCCATAAGCGCCCCAAAGGCGATTTAATCACAGTTAATATAGGTACATTCAGGAAAAGGGGGGAGTCTTTTTTACCTTCCTCTTTTGTGGCATGATCCCAGTGTTTCTACGGGCCAGTCAACAGGCTAATATTATTAAACCTAAAGTTTAATTAGTTATATATTCAATAGGCTTCTTGGGAGTCTAGCCTAAGAAAATCTAACTATTCTGTGGAAAATAGATTACTAATTTTAAACAATTCAATTATTCAACCAACATTTATGGAGTACCTCCGTGTTCCAGACCCTGGGAATTAGCACTGAAGATAGACAGAAGCTCCTGCCCTCACAAAACCTGCATTTTTGTGGGAAGTAGGCATTAAATAAATTTTTTAAGTAAATAACGTAATTTCGCTAGCGAAAGTACGATGAAGAAGGACTAAGCAGGCTGTAGCATGAGAACCAGCGCAGGGGAGCTGGATGTCTTAGAGTAGTCAGGGGAGGTGTCTCTGAGGAGTGGGTGGTGGTTAACAGAGACCTGAAGGATTTGAAGGGTGAGCCCTGGGAAGATCTGGGAGAAGAGTGTTCCAGGCAGAGGGAACAGTAGCTGCAAAGACTGGAGCAAGAGCAGCCTTGACCTGTTGTGGAATAGCAAGAAGGCTGGCATGCCGGAGAGGAGTAAAGGAGGAGGAGGGTAGTGAGAAATGAGGTTAGAGAGCGGAGCAGGAGCCAGATCATGGAGACCCTTTTAGGCCATGGTAAGGAGTGTGCATTTTATTCAACGTATAATGGGAAGCCTCTGCAAAGTTGTGAGTTTGTGGGCATACCCTGAGTTAAACTGTAAGAAGCTCCTTCAGGCTACTCTTAAGGACTATGGTTTGCAAGACAGCGAGTGTGGAAGCGGGAAGCCTAGTTGGAAGGCTGTTGCTTTGGCCGGAGGTGATGGCAGCAGTGGTTAGGGTGGCGGAAGTAGAGGTAATGTGAAGTGGGTATTGTTGGTAAGTTAGGACTTGCTAGTGGATTGGATGTGGGATTGGAGGGAAAGAAGCGGCACGGAGGATGCTTGCGTTTTTGACCTGGGCAATCGGGGAAATGGTAACATCAAGATGGGAAAGACTTACTTTTTCCCTACTTCCTTTATTTCAATTGAGGTATATTGCCATTTTATTGAGTGACATTGACAGGTAACATTATTAGTTTCAGATGTACAACATAAGGATTTGATATTTGTAGACGCTATGGAATGATCACCACTATAAGTCTAGATTTCCCCATCACCATATAAAGTTACGTAATATGCAATACAAGATTGTTGACTGTCGTCACAAAGCTGTACATTACATCCCCACGACCTAACCTATTTTATGACTAGAAGTTTGTACCTTTTGACCCTCTTCTCCCATTCCACCCACCCCTCAACTGTCCTCCCCTCTGAGAACCACCAATATGTTCTCTGCATCTATGAGTTTTGTTTTATTTTGTTTGTTCATTTGTTATACTTACAGATTCCACCTATAAGTGAATTCATACGGTATTTGTCTTTTTCGGTCAGTCTTATTTCACCTAGCATAATACCCTCAAGGTCCACCCACAGTGTCTGAAATGACAAGATTTCAGTCTTGTTTTTTTTGGCTGAATAATTCCATTGTATATATGTACATCTTACCCACTCATCCACTGACGTACACTTTGGTTGTTTCCGTACCTTAGCTGTTGTTAATAATACTGCAGTGAACATAGGGGGATGTGTATGTATCTCTTTGAACTGATGTTTTCATTTTCTTTAGATAAATACCCAGAAGGGGCTTGCTGGATCATATGGGAGTTCTCTTTTTAGTTATCTGAGGATCCTCCATATGGGAGAGACCCTCAAGGGAGCATATCAAGACCTCTGTTCTGGACATGTTAATTTTGAGATGCCTCCTGGATAGCCAAGTAATAATGACTCCTAAGCAGGCGGATACAGAGTTTGGAGGTCAGGAAAGAGGCTATGAATGAGGGTATAAATTGGCCAGACTATAGAAAATAATTAAAGCTGTATGGCCCGTTAAGATCACCTGGGGAGTTGAGTGTAAAAGTAGAAGAAGGTCTAAAACTTTGCAACGTCTAGAGGTCAGTAACGGGGCAGAAGCAGCTAAAGAGACTTGAAGGAACCGCAGTCAGGCAGGAGGAAAAGCGGGAGGACTCGGTATCCTGAGCCCAGGTGAAGAAGTGCCTTGAGGAGGGAGCGACCTCTTAGGTTGAGTGCTGCTGAGAAGCACTGAGAGATGAGGACCGAGCAGGGACACTGGACTAGGAAGGTGCAGGTTGCCAGTGATCTCGATGAGCTTTCTTGAATCGGAGACAAAAGTATGAATGGAGTGTGTTGCTGGGTTGTATAGCCGACTGGACACTCAGCCCACAGGGCTCTCCCATACCGTCAGCATTTATCAAGACAGTTGTTTTTGAAAGACAGTTCTCTTCCTAACTGAACTTGTGATACTATGTATAAAGCTAATGAAATGTTGTGCCCTTTGTTACAGAGGAGAACGTGCTGTAACGCCTGGCACAGGAAGTAGAATGGTGGCCCAGAGCACCGGCTTTGGAAGAGCTGCTTTGGTGGGATCTCAGCTCTGCTGCTTTCTGGCTCTGTGACCTCACACAAGAGCTTGAAGTTCTTAATCTATAAAATGGAAATAATAATATCAGCCCCTCAATGTGGATGTAAAGATCAAATGATATGTAAGCAGCTAGCACAAAGTCTAGAACTAAGTGCTATTATTAATATTGTTACAGGGACAAAGTCACTAAATTAGAGTTAAAACGGTTTAGGGAATCATTGCTACCTTAGTGGCAGCTGAAGCCTCGAGAATGAACATGTCAAGGCGGGAAAGAGCCAAAGATCACTCCTTTGTATTTTGCAGAGGGCAGATGTGCCGGGCCTCTTAGCGAGACCTGCGTCAGGAACCAGGGTCCGGACCAGAAGCCCGCCCCGAGACGCCACCCCAGGCCCCACTCGCGCCTACACAACCGTCTGCGAGAAGCTGGTGTGCACTTACGCCCCACAGCCCGAGGTGCAAAAGCCTCCCCTGCCCAGGTCCAAACTACAGAAAGGGTATGGAGAGCACAGCCCAAGGGCCCTGAGGTCCGAGTCCCCACCCAGGTCCAGTAAGGAGGCGGCAGGCCTGGCCGAGATGCGTGGACAGGCCCGGGGACGCCAGGTGCGCGGCTTCCGCGCACCGTCCTGCCCTCCCTGGGTCCTCAGCAGCCGATTCCACTCACCTCTCGGAGGGTCCGGCCCAGCATGGTCCTCGTGCCCAGCCCAGGGCGCAGGGCACAGGAGGGAACGAGTAAGGTCAACGCCCGCTCCGCTCCCGGCTACATGGGCGCAGCCATCTTTGATCGTCACGAACCTTTCAGCACCAAGCTCTTTGATTGGTCCAATTGCAGCCCGAGGAAATTATCTCTGCACGCGATTGGTTGGAGCCCCAGCGGCTCCCCCCGGCGCCGAAGAGCGAGTCGCGAGGAGACTGCGGGCCGGGGTCGTGGAGCGGGTCGGGCAGCGCACGGCCTCCTGGCGCCCGGACTGCCCGCGGAGTTTGCTTCTCTCGCCGAGGCCCTCCCGGGCCAGGGGTGCTGAGTTTAGGGTTTTTCTTTTTCTTAAAAGGCCGGGGGTCGTAAGGGAGGAGGAGGAGAATGCACCGAATACTGCGTGGAACGTTACCCGGAACATTGCAGATCCGAAGAGCAGAATAATTCCATTTTCCTTTTGTTTCAGTTGCTCCATGAGGCCAACTTCATTTTTGCATTCTCAACTTTGAAATCGGCCAGTGTGTTTGGCAGATTTTGACCAAGTTCAGGGGTGAGACTTTGATTCACTCTCGGTGCATTTTAATTAGGGCAGGCAATTCAAGCACTGTTCGCGATGGTGTTACTGAAGACCTGCGCGCTTGGAAGAAATGCATGTGTTGCGTTTTGCTTCTGGAGAAGCCAAATGGTGCGAAAGCCTCCAGTTAGAGAGATTAGTACGACCTCCCCCAAGTGCACTGTCATGCCTGCTTGGGTGATAGATAAATATGGGAAGAATGAAGTGCTTCGATTCACTCAGAACATGATGCTACCGATCATACACTATCCAAATGAAGTTATTATCAAAGTTCACGCTGCCAGTGTAAATCCTATAGACGTTAATATGAGAAGTAAGTTTTCAGAAGACATTCCTCATCCCTTTTCCTTTTCTTTTCTCCTTCAGAGAATTTCATCAGTGATCAGTTTGAAAAGATCAACTGATATTAGCCTACACTTCTTCCGTTAACAAAAAGGAATCGTTTTGGTTTGACAGTATCTCGGATATTATTTACAAAATTTTCGAAATTGCAATGTCCATAGTATACTTTAATCTTTTACAAAATAGAAGTTTGAATTGTTTCCATGTTTCCTTAAAAGTTAAATGGGGACCGGAGAGTTCTGTCCACAGTTAACGTTTTTGTATATTCTCCAGGGACTTTGAGATATTCTGAGGTTTCATCACAGGTTTTAGAGGTTGGGTTATGCAGTCTCATCAGTTCAGAATTTGTATTTTTAATATTCTTCCTTGCTNGTATCATCTCTGACTTCTTGTTACTCATTCTTTTTATCTGATTAGTGAGTATTTATTATTAGATCCTCCAGGAAGTGTTAGATTGTCACTTGAGGCTTCACTTACGATCAGCATACAGGCTCTGGTACTTGCTGAGCGGTGTTTCTTCTGATGCCCTCTTTACTAGCCTTCCTCATACATCAAAGATGGGACTTCAGGAAAAATGTGTTTGTTTTTAGTTTGCTATTGAACCCATATTTTATAAGCATTTTTCTCAATTTGTAGTGACTCTTAACTTGAACTCTACAATAGACAGGAAGATCTTAATTAGAGCCCTAAAGTCCTGCCGGTCCTTGTCCGGTTCATTTCTCTTCTTTTCCACTCTGGATTGCCTGTGTTGTACTCTCTGTACACACTCTACTGTAAACCACACTTCACCCCTGCTGGGTCTCTACTCCTAGGCAGGATGCTTTGCCTAAACCATTGCTCTTGTTTGATCAAGGCTGACTTAGTTACCCAGCTACGTTGGTGAGTGTCCTCTTGGTTTTGAATCCAAGCTTCTCGTCAAAATTCTATATTAACCCTTCTATCTGCCCCTTCGAATAATGTTTGAAACTTCTGCAGACTTAGTAAAGGGTTTTCGAATTGTATATATTATAGGTTTCTACAGCACTGAAACAAGGACAAATTACTCCAACAGAGCTCTGTCAAAAATGCCTCTCCCTTATCAAGAAGACCAAGTTCCTAAATGCTTATATTACTGTATCAGAAGAGGTAGCCTTAAAGCAAGCTGAAGAATCAGAGAAAAGATATAAGAAAGGTAAATCACTTTGAATTATACTTACTTGTTACATCACTAGAGAAAGAATTTGATTGGCTGTAGTAGTCTTCATTTGGCAAGTAAAGTTGTTCACTTGAAACATACCCTTATTTAAAGAACTTGCCATGAGATGTAGTGAAAATGAGGCTGTGAATGTGTGATGTTTTAGATGTCCAACTAATAAATTTCTAACATAAATTTGATTTCTGGAGAAGCATCTTTACTGAGCACCACTATTTATTCTGATAACTAGTTATTAATGCATCTTTATATTTTGAACGAGCTCTATCTCCTGTTCTTTCCGCTTTTTAACACAGGTCACTCGCTTGGGGATTTAGATGGAATTCCTGTCGCTGTAAAAGACAACTTCAGCACGTCTGGCATCGAGACAACATGCGCATCAAACATGCTGAAAGGTGAAGTTTTAACTGATCAGAGCATTAATAGTTTTATTAAAAGTAACTATTTTTCAGTTTCAATTAGAGATAAGATACTAAAATCAGTAAGATATTCTCAGACTAATTATACCTGCACAGGAAATACCTAGGCTGGGGTACTTCCATTTTATGATTTGCTCTTTCAGAATGCAGAATTATTCCTCAGAGGCAGGCCCGCTCAATGGATGTACACTCTGCAGGAACTTTTAGAAGTCCTTTCTGGGAAGACTCAGTTCCCACTCACTGGTAACTGAGATAAGGGTGAAGTGGCTGCCCTTAACTCCTCTCTTGAGGGTGGTATGAAGATTCGTTAGCTTCTACTGCCCGGTGATTTTTTTTTTTTATTTCCCAACACCTCCATTTCTTATATCACTATACTTATCTGGATATATGATGCTTAGTTTTATTCTTTGTAGTTTCGTAGGTCAAAAGAAAGCATGTTTATCAAGATTTTTGGATCCTAGGAGGAAAAAGAAATTGGAAAAGTTCACTCAGAGTACCACTCACTAAAAGAGGTACTCCTTGAGGTGAACCGGACCATTGCTGGTTGTTTTGGAACATGCACTAGCTAGAGGAAACTTTAATTGAAAAGAAAGATCTATTTCTGACTAGAAATAGGTAAAACTTACTGTGTGATAGAGCATCATCTGGGAAGAAAAGGTCCAGTACCATGAGCAAAATAATGGTTTGCGATGCATTTCAAATGAACTAGGTACATCTCTATCATTTACTGTTTTGTAGTACTAACTGTTAAAGTCACTGTTTTTAGATAGAAATAGATAGAAAACATATAGCAGTTAGCAATAGAAAAAATTAACTTTCAGAAGAAAGTACAACCTGCTAGTCAGATTGGGAATAATTCACACTTGCCAGTATGAATTGCTTAATCACAGTTTAAAATTTTGTTTCTTGCATAAGATTTACATGTTCACTATTTTCTCTCATAATAAAAATAACTGAATTTTGTTCAGGTTATGTGCCACCTTATAATGCTACAGTAGTTCAGAAGTTGTTGGACCAGGGAGCGCTATTACTGGGAAAAACAAATTTAGATGAGTTTGCTATGGGGTAAGTAAAATGGGAATTTTCCTCTTCATTATTTCTTTCATCTGTGTCTTTAATGTCATTAGTGTAGGTACCTAAAAGAAAATGTAAGAGAAATTTTGTGACCTTGAGTTAAGTAAAGATTTCTTAGATAGTGCACAGAGTACAATCCATAAAATAAAAAACTACAGATTGGACCTCATTAAAATTAAGAACTGTACCTTGAAATAACACAGTTAGAAAATGAAAAATCAAACGATAGACTGGGAGAAAATTTGTAAAACAGCTGAGAAATAACTGGTAGCCAGCATATATTAAACCTTTCGCAACTCAAAAATAAGAAAATAACCCAATTAAAAAGAAAAAGGGTAGAAGATGTCTGTAAGCAGACATTAGCAAAGAATGGCAGGTGGTAAATAAACACATGAAAAAAATCACAGTGAGATACATGCACCTATGGGAACAGCTTGGAAAGCCACAGTATCAGGTGCTAAAAAGATGCGGGCGATCGGTTGTCTCCCGCGAAGCTGGGAGGAGCGCCGAAGGGCGTGGCCTTCTTGGAAAGCGCTTGGGCGGTTTCTTATAAAATTAAACACACTTCCCTCGTGACCCAACAGTCCATCCTAGGCATTTACTCAAGAGTTGAAGGCATATGTTTACACAAAAGTGCTGTCTAGGGCCTTTCAGTACAATATTTATTACGGCTTTATTCATAATTGCCAAAAACTGGAAATAACTCAATATCCATTGGCTGGTGAATGATTAAAAAAGTGAAAAAAGAGGCTAAAGAGACCATAGCAATGATATACACAATACCTGACTCTAAATGTGATCCTGTAGTAGGAGGGGTAAAATGCTATAAAGTACATTATTGGATCAACTGACAACATTGGGTTACATACAGTAGGTTAGATAAAACACTGCATTGGTGTTCAGTGTACTGAGATTGGTAACTATACTATGACTGCCTAAGGGAATACACCTCGTCTGAGGAAATAAGTGCTGAATATATACTGAAGTATTTAAGGGTAAGGGGCCATGATTATATGATTTGCCCTTAAATAGTTCAGGGAAAAAAATGTGTATATATCGACACACACAAAAAGCCCACAAATGATTAAACGAATTGGGTAAAATGTTAATAATAGTGAATCTGGGGAAAGGGTGTAGTGTTCTTTTTACTGTTCTTATTTTTGCACTTTATCTGTAAGATTAAAATTACTTAAATATTTTAAAAATAAGTATTAAATTCCACTTATGCTTACCTTAAAACTTATGATTAACAGAGGGATTTCTTCAAAAGATTTCTTTCTTGGTAACTGTTTGAATGTTTGTGACATTGTTCAAATGAAAGACGTTAACCTATGAAGGAAATCATCTTAAACTGAATTGGGTGATCAGTTGGGATGAAAAGCCTCTTAACAGACTCATTCTCTCCACTGCCTCCCCCAGATGACATTGCTTCCCGCCTCTACCTCCCCAGCCACCTAGTCAGTGGGAGCTCCGTCCAGGCAGGCTCCCTGCCTTCTCCAGTCCAGGTTGCAGTGGATTTATAGTGTCCAAAGCAAATAATACAATCCGGAGATGAAATTTTCACATAAAATGGTGGTTCCACTAAGGTGTTTTGCTGTACTTCTTCATCTCAGATCTGGAAGCACCGATGGTGTATTCGGACCAGTCAAAAACCCCTGGAGTTATTCAAGACAATACAGAGAACAGAGGAGGCCGAAGTCCCGCGGCGAGAACGAGCGCGCAAACTGGCTCATAACTGGAGGCAGCTCGGGAGGGAGCGCAGCGGCCGTGTCCGCGCTCACGTGCTTTGCGTAAGAGGCTTGTTTCTGCGCGTGCTTCCAAACCCAGCCGCATGCAGGTGGTCGCACGCCAGACACAAGATCCGACGACAGAGAAGTGCATACCTTGTTTGGTGTTTTTATTTCTCTTTAGTGAGCTTTCTGTGCCCAGTGGTGTATCAAAATCATATCTTATAAATACACTCAGCTGTGCAGTATGTTTATGGGTATTTTATACATTTAACTCTAAGATAAACTCTTCCTCTGTAGTCCCGGGGTCTCTTAAAAACGTGATTTTACGAATCTTACTGAATAACCCAGTTAGCATGAAGGACTTCTTTGAATTTCATTTTTTAAATAAGTTGTTTGGATGTCTTCCCGTTGATGTAGAACTATTTAGGTGCTCATGTACCATGGCTTTAGTTGAGTGCTGCTGAGCTAAACTGTTAGTTTATCCTTCATCTAAATCTGGCTTTCTTGTTTTAAAAAAAAGGAAGAAAGAAGGAAAAAAGCGACACTTCTAATATATATCAATGGGATTTTTAAAACTGTGTTTTCTTAAGTCCACAGCTAAATGTATATATCAGTGAATAAAGTTTCTTCACGTCTGTAAGCTGCTAATTTGTTCAGCGGTGGTACTTTGTATTTGGGAAGAATCTCTCCTGGTGTATGTTTCAGTTCCCATTTGTGAGCATTTCTTAAACCTAAAGGGAAGTAAATAGCTATCACTGTTGTTACATTTATGTTACCAGTCTCAATTTTACCAAATTGAAAGTGGTTTTTTAGTACTAATATATGTATTTTATTTCTCCTCAATTATCCTGAAACTGAGTTGATTCAGAGGCACTGCAACCAATAAATTATTTATGTTTTGGGGGCTGTGGAGACTTAGGTTCTACCGATTTTTTTTTTGGTTTCTCTGAAATCTTATTTACAAGTAAAACCATTTCATTTAATCTCTGTGGAATTTTAAGCACTGCATTAATATTAATGAGAGTTCTGACAAGTTAGGTCTGCAAGATTAGGTCCTTTTTTTCTATCCTCATCACCCCACTTAGTGTTCATCTTTCTGAATGTGGAGAAGATGGCATTTTGACACACAATTCCTATGGAAATGTCGGTTTTACTTTTACACAGCCATCAGTGAATCCTAATAAGAAGGTGTATCCTTTTAGAAATCATGAAAGCAACAGCCTGATTTTGTAGCTCAAATGACTTGGTAAGACAGGCAGTCCAATTTGCATTTTCTGTAGCGTGCAAGGGCCACGAGACTCATAGGAGCTGCGTTCAGTCCAGAGCCTCACTCCAGGTACAGTCGAGAGAAGCGCAGACCCAAGGTAACTCCAGATTGAGTGGGTCCCAAACCGTCGAGTGTTCTGCTCTGTTTTCCCCCTTGTTGATCTGTTTCTTGTGTAACAGCCTTAAAAAGAGGAATGTTCTCAGTGTACTATACAGCCACTAAAAGAATGAGCCAGAGTACCATGTAGTGATGGAAAGATGTCAGTGATGCACTGTTAAGTGGAAAACACATTGCAGAATAGTATATATAGAATGAGCTTCTTTCTGTTAAAAGTAGTAATTAAACATGTAGCTACATTCATTGCATGAAAGTATCTGGATAAATGTGTATCAAATGGATAGCAGGATTATTATGGGGGCAATGATTTGTAAGAGCAATTTTACTTCACACATTATGTAGTTAGATAGTGTTTTAACTTTTGTAGTAGGCCTGTATACTTTTCTAATTAGAAAAGCCTTTTTTCCTGAAACAGTTTAAAAAATTTTTTTGATTTTCATTGTGGTAAAGTATACATGGCAAAATTTACCGTCTTAACGTTTTTATGGAAGTTCTTGCGATTTTTAAGTTATTTAATATATTTCTCAATTGAAGTACAGTTGACATATTCATTTCAGGTGTACAGCATAGTGATTCGACATTTATAGATGTTACAAAATGCTCACCATACAAAGTTATTACAATATTATTAATTATATTCCCTATGCTGCGCCCATAAGCATTTTTGGGTGTCCAGTTGAGGAGTGTTACAGGCATTCCCACTGTTGCTTAACCACCAGTCTCCAGATGTGCTTTCGTTTGCAGACTGAAGCTTTGTACACATTAAACACCAGCACCCACTTGCCCCTCCTTCCAGCCCCCCCAGCCACTCCTTTCTGTCTGTGAATTTACCCACCTAGGTCCCCTATCTAAGTGAAATCATACAGGATTTCTGCTTTTGTAACTGAATCATTTCACTTAGCATAATATCATCAAGGTTAGATTTTTTTGTTCCTTGGGTTTTTAATAAGAAAAATATAAACTGTATAGGAAACTAAGCAAAGAAACAAATACAAATAACTCTGAAAACTATTTTTAAACGTACATTAACAAGGCTTTTTAGTTATCAAATTAACCAATTTCTAAGAGGTACTAATACTCAGTGATGATAATGAAACATAAAACAATCTGATTCACTGCAGTTGGGAATATAAATTGGCGTAACCTTTCTGACCGGTAATTTGATGATATATATTAAGAACTAATAATAGGCAGACCCTTTGGCCTATTAACTCTACTTCTTGGAAGTTAGCCTAAAAAATAGTCAGACATAGGGGTAAATATTTATGTTTAAAAGGGGTTTTCACTAAGTAAATTTATTATGGAGTTCTTATGCTAATTGGCAACAACATAAAGTTTAAATAAAGTACATTTCTACCCATGATTCTAAGTGGGGTAGCAGAGGGCCTGTGTCTGAATTTCTGAGAGGGGTGTGTTTAGTTTATGAAAGCATATTGTAAAATTTCCATTAAAGAACGGTGTAAGATTTTATGCATACTGATAGGAGAATGGAGTTTAAAATACTGGGAATTGCCAGTTGATATAATAGAATATCATATACATTTTAAATTTTCAGTAATTTTAGTGACATAGTAAAAGGCTCAGGATAAACATAAGAGGAACTAGACACTTACGGTTGCAGAATGACCTGAACTATGAAAAAAATGCATTCAAAAAAGACTTGAAGTTAATCTGCCAAAATGTTAACAGTGTTTGCCTCAGGGTGGTGGAATATTTTGTTTCCTCTTTACAATTTTCTCTGTTTTAATAATTCTCAGAAACAAGCATGTTGTACTTCTGTACAATTAGGAGAAAATACAGTTATAAAATAATACTTTTAAAAAGGTAGATTCCAAGTCTAGAGAGATGTCATTCTTCTAAAGAGAATCCCATTTAAATTTCAGAGCTTTAGGATCGGATACAGGGGGATCCACCCGGAATCCAGCTGCGCACTGCGGGGTCGTTGGTCTGAAACCGAGCTATGGCTTAGTTTCTCGTCACGGTCTCATTCCCCTGGTGAATTCAATGGATGTGCCGGGAATCCTAACCAGATGTGTGGAGGATGCAGCAATTGTGTTGGGTAATTACATGCTTGTAGTTTCAGACGTGATAATTTCACTGTAAAACCCCGTGTCTGTCCCTCATAAGTGTTTTATCCTTACAGGTGTACTGGCTGGGCATGACCCCAAGGATTCTACCACAGTACAAGATCCTGTTAAACCATTTATGCTTCCCAGTTTGACGGATGTGAGCAAACTGTGTATAGGAATCCCAAAGGTGACCGCCCTGCCCTTTACAGAAATACTGTCAAGTCAAATACAGAACACTAGCTTAGGGAACGGTGGTTAGATTCGAATCCTGCCCTGCTACTTTGATTAGCTGTGTGACCTGAGCATGTGACTTCGTCTCTCTAAGCTCAATTTCCCCATCTGCAAAGGGGGGATAATAACAGTGTTGATCTTAGAGAGTGGTGGGGTTTAAATTAGATAATCATCGTGGAGATGTAACGTACAGTATGGTGACTATAGTTGATAGAACTGTATTGCCTACCTGAAAGTTGCGAAGAGAATAGATGTTAGAAGTTCTCGTCTCAAGAAAATAAAAACTCTGTGTATGGTGACGGATGTTAACTAGACTTACTGTGGGAATCATTTCTCAATATATACAAATATTGAATCATTATGTTGTATGCCTGAGAATCTAATACAATGTATGTCAGTTGGACCTCAGTAAAAAAATTAGATAGTCATGTTAAGCAGGAGTCTATAAAGTTTTTCTGTAAATGGTCAATTGGTAAATATTTTTGGCTTTATGGGTTTTACAGTGTTTATTGTAGCAACTTAACACTGCCACTGTATGTGGGAACAGCCAAAGGCCATAGGTAAAAGGGAGATTGTGTTCTGATTAACTTTATTCTCAGAAATAGCTGGCAAGACATATTGACTGGGCCGTAATTTGCTAATCCCTGAGAGAGGACGTAGCCTAGAGGCATACCTCACGTAGTAAATGCTCAATTAATGTTAGAGTCTTTACTATCATTGTTAATATTACTGCTATATTACAGTAGCAATTGTGGAATTCTTACATGAAAGTAGACATTAAATTACTGATGTTTGAAAAGGTTTTTCATTTTAAGCTTAGCATTAGTGTTTGGATGATTTTTTTGCCATGGGCAGCTGTCCTGTGCTTGGTTCAGTAGCATCCCTGCCCTCTGCCAGCAACCCCATCCCCGTAACCTTGCAACCCAGAATGTCTGCAGATATTCCCAAACCCCTTCCTTGAGAGGAAGAAGGTAAAATTGTCCCCAGTTGATGCTGCTGCTATAGAGAAATACTGTTTTAACATCTTCGATTAAGGTATAGCTATGCCTTCTCTTAAGGATTTAGAGAGAGCACAGGTTGTAGAAATGGACCCAGTTTGGAGTCCTAGATCCTCTGCTTACCTGCTGTGTAGCATTAGGAAAGTTAATTAACATCTCGAGTCTCAGTACTTTTCATTTGTAAAGTGAGGAGTGATAATACCTACAGCCTGGGCTTGTTAAAAGCACTAAATGAGAGAAAAGTATCTAACAGGGTGCTGGATGGAGGATGAACATTTAACAAATGCAAGTGCCCAGCCCGTTCTCCGATCTCTAACACGGTCGCCCCCAGCTCACAACACCAGTACTGCGCTCGTCAGGCCAGAAGCGCTCTTAAATTAGTCCAGTCTTCCTAGCTACCGTCTGGCAACTTAATCATATTTTCTAGTGTATTGCCATAGGTTCTGGAGTACAAATTTTTATAAATCCATCTGTACAGGTGTTCCAATTTCTGTATCTTGACCTTTTTCCAATAAGGAATATTTCACACCAGAATTATCAAGTGAGGTACAGTCTCTCTGGACCAGAGCTGCCGGCCTCTTTGAGTCCGCGGGGGCCGAGGTCAGGGAGGTGTCCTTGCCCCACACCAGTTACTCCATTGTCTGCTACCATGTATTGTGTACCTCGGAAGTGGCATCGAACATGGCGAGATTTGATGGGCTAGAATATGGTAAGATGGCTGTTTTGGATTTTTAAGGCAGTTGTCTCAGACAATTGAAAGTTTCACTTACTAGTGTCCAAAAAACTATTGCCTGAGATAATATTAATGATTCGAGAAGTAAATCGCTGAATCCTTTCCCCTTTGTCATTTGAGCCCTGCACTCACATGGATCCTCCCAAGTTCCTCTGTGAGTTCAGTTCACTGGCTGGACTGTGAGGGTCCTGAAGAGACAGTGTGCTCGGCAGTCCACCTGCTGTAGCGCCCGGTGCATGGTGGGAGCTCGGGAAACGCTTGGACAGACGGATGGGCGAGGGAGTGAACTTCCCTTCGTGGTTGTTTCTTCTCTCCATGACCCCTGGCTGGCCTGTCGGTCACAAGGCAGATAGAGGAGAGAAGCCACTGAGGGCCGTGTCCCGCCCTGTAGGGCCGTCACAGTGTGAGGCCTCCCCGCCTGGTCAAGTGACGTCTCTTGTCTTGGTTTCAGGCTGCAGGTGTGATGCAGACGTGTCTACTGAAGCCATGTATGCTGCAACCCGACGGGAAGGGCTTAATGCTGTGGTGAGGGGAAGGATTCTCACAGGAAACTTTTTCTTACTGAAAGAGTAAGATAATTAGTTCAGGGATTTTCCCCATTCTTGACAACTCAAAAGTAAAGTAGTAGCATGTCTATCAGGTCTTTTAAGTTGATATTTGCTAAAGAAGCAAAATCCTTATAATTGAATTAGAAATCATAATTAAAGGCCTGTTTGTGGTACTTTGGGGTCACTCTGTACCTAGCTAATTCCTTAATCTTTTCAGGAAAGCAAGCATCTTTTCTTGAATTTTGCATTTTAATTCCTTGCCTGTAGCTCTCTGTAAAACACAAACTGCATACTTCCCCCAGTTTCTGTTTTCAGATTCTATTCCCTGCTGTCTCAATCTGGTGGCATGTTTGAATTTTACAGAACTTCAGAGTCCTTACAATTACTAGTTGTTATACTGTAGGTGAATCGAGACATTACACTAGAAAGAGTGTTGGGTGGGCTTCCAGTGACCTATGGTCTAGCCCTCCTCTGCCACTGCCAAGCTGTGTAACCTTTGCAGTCCTTTAATTGCCCAGTGCTTGATTTTCCTCTCCTGAAAAGGAATGTTCTTGTTTAATGATGTCCTGGAACAGTTAATATTTTGTGATTATATGTGTAGAATTACATCTAGTAGTGAATTCTGACTGATCAAATTCCAGATATACAAACCTTCATCATAACAGTACAGTTGAATGAAATTCATTTGAATGTGTTGTTAGGAATCTTAAATGACACCTGCTCATAAAAACCCCAAATCCAGTGATTCTTTAGAAAGCGTCATGTGTGAGAATTGGTTCAAAGGAATAAAACCCTTAAAACACCATGTTTTTTTCCCCCCACAGAAATTATGAGAGTTATTTCATCAAAGCACAGAAAGTGAGACGACTCATTGCTAATGATTTCTTGAATGTCTTTAACTCTGGAGTGGACGTCTTGCTAACTCCCACCACCTTGAGTGAGGCCACCCCGTATGAGGAGTTCATCCAAGAAGACAATCGGACACGGAGTGTCCAGGATGACATTTTTACCCAGGCTGTAAATATGGCAGGTGAAGATCCCTCGAGAATGTTCTGGTCTTCGTGGGATTTTTAGGCTTCAGCATAGGTTCTGGCTAGGTCGTTCTGGACGGTAGCTTGCCCCCGTGGAATGCTTAGGAGTGAGTGCGCGGTGTGTGTGCACCCACGGGCATGCATGCGCCTGCACTTCGCTCACACACACGTACTCAGAATCAGTTTACTTAATAGCATACTTTTTAACTTTTATGTTGAAAATTTTCAAACCTACAGGAAAGTTGAAAAAATACCGTAATGATTACCTCTGTGCCCTTTGCCCGGATTCACCCTGGTGACACTGTTGCTCAGTTGTTTTCTCCGTCCTCTCTGTCTGTCTGTCTTTCCCTCCCTCTCACACCCTTTCCACCCACCCACACACACACTTTGTTTTCAGTTGAACAATTTGACAGAAAATTTCAGTATCATTACACTTTCACCCCTAAATACTTCCTTTGCCATGAATCTTCTAAGAATAAAGACATTCTCCTCCGTAACCACAATGCTGTTACCACACCCAGGAAAACTAACATAAATACAATAGTATTAGAAATATAGTCCATATTTAAATTTTCTCTGTTGTACCAAAAGTGTCCTTTATAAGTTGTGTTTCCCCTGATACATTACATTTGTTTATGATGTCTTTTTAAAATCTAGAACAATTCTCCAGTTCTGTATTTTTTTTAGAACCGTGTCAGACTGTTAGAATTTTTGTTGCAATCATCAAACATACTGTAGAAAAGAGAACCAAGAAACGCTGCAGTTTCCCCATACTTTTGCTTAAGTGTTCATTTCCCCCTGATGTATCAAGATTCTTTATTGTATCATATCCTTTCTGTTTAAAGTCCTCACCATTCTTTTAGGGTAGGTCTGTGCTAATTCTCCTGGCTTTCTTTCTGAGAATGGCTTGATTTTCCTTTCATTGTGAGAGGTTATTTCTGCTCTATACAGGATTCTGGTTCGACTGTTCTTTTCTTTAGCCCTTAAAGAATGTGCTCGTGTCTTCTCTCCTGCACAGTTTCTGACAAGAAATCCCCCCCCTTTAGCATTTTTGGTTTAGGCAGCAGTGGCTTTTTTGAAGGGTCTGGTTCCCTCGTGCCGTAGGATGTTCTGTCTGTAACCTGGATCTATAAGGTTGCTTCCTTGGGGTCGGGCTGAGGTGAACACTTTCGGCAGAAATGCTACATACCTGCACGTCCGGGAACGGCTGATGTCCGTTGGTCCCACTTTTGGAAGCTCAGCTGAGCCACCGCTTAAAGAAGTGAGGGTCACATGTCCTCCTACTGTCACGGTGAGGGAGGGGCGAGGTGGCACCGGGAGCCCACGAGCACCTGCGCCCTGTGACCTCGGGACAAGGCCCAGCATTTGTCCACGATGGTTGCCCAGACGATCACGTAGAGAATCACGATCTGCTCGCCTTCTAGTCCTGTCACTCCTTCTGCATGTAGTAGCTAGCAGTCTTTAAAGAACAGATTTTCTTTTTCTTTTTTAAATTCCATGTATTATAAGCAACTACTGTCATTATTGTTTTTGATGTTCTAATAGCCCCAAGTCTAGCCAACAGGGGCCCCTTCAAGTTACATGTATCCTTTAGACCTGTTCCCATTAATGTTTGAAAACTTCCTTATTTTTATAGGTAACAAGATACCCCAGGATCTTGTACTTTCTTTGCCCCAAACCTGGAATTAAAACCCTGAGTTACTGAGTTACTGTTTCTCATCTTACAAATTGGCAAAAATTCAAAAGCTCAATAATACACTCTCTTTGGTGAGACTGTTGGAGAAAAGCACTTAATTTGCTGTTTGGTGTTCAAAATGGTACAACTTTTTTGCAGGGGAATTTGGCAGTGTCCAATACATGCATTTATCCCTTGATGAAGCAATCACTCTTCATCTAAAAAGCTTTTAAGAATACCAGAAACGTGTGCACAAGATGATTTGCTGGGGCATGGTGTGAAATAGCTAAATTCTGAAAACAACCTAAGTACCCAACCATAAAAGAATAATGGAATGAATTATAGTAAAACTACATGGCAAAAAACTATGCATCTATCAAAAAGGAGTAAAGATGGTCTCTGAACTGCTATACAGTGATTATCAAGATACCCTGTTAAGTGAACAAGGGAAAGTCAAAAGAATATGTGTGATACAATTTTTGTTATGTTTAAACTTACCCTGTCTTATACTTACTAATATTGGAAAGGAGAAGAGATCTCTGCTTCTTGGGGTAGAGAATTAACCCACTGACAGGTTTCTTTCTTCCGCTCAGGGTTGCCGGCAGTGAGTGTCCCTGTGGCCCTCTCCAGCCAAGGATTGCCGGTAGGCCTACAGTTTATTGGACGTGCATTTTGTGACCAGCAGCTTCTGACAATTGCCAGATGGTTTGAAAAACAAGTGCAGTTTCCTGTTATTCAGCTTGAAGAAGTAATGGATGATTGTTCATCAATCTTTGAAAATGAGAAGTTAGCTTCTGTATCTATAAAACAGTGGTGATAAATAGATCACGCAAACTAAAAATGACTTCTAAAGATTTTATATTCTAGAGAAGCCAAATGATCTTGCTTAATTCTTATAATTTGGTTCATTGTCAATACAAGCATTCCCTGGAATCACTTTTTAAAATCCTTGTGATATAGCTAATTAATTATAAACAATCTCAGCATTCAAGTATCCACAACGTATAGGATTTCTGCTGTAACACGAGATATATGCTCCTGAAAAGTAATGCAGTCTGTGAAAATGTTCATTAAAAAGAGCAGTAGAATTAAGGGGTAAACCTCTCAAAATGTGTACGTCTTTGTTACCAGAGCACTAAAAAAAAAACCATCACCTGGTACCTCCAGAGAACCTGGGCAGGAGGCAGAGAGGCAAGTCAGCATGTGGTGGAGGCTGCCTCAGGGGAAGTTAAAAATGCACAACACAGTAGAATGGGTAATATTGGCCTCTGGGTGCCGAGCAAAGCAGGTGGAAGGTGAGCTCCGAGGTCCAGAGGAAGTGCAGCCTGCTAGGGCCCCAAGTCACACCAGGCTGGGGAGGCCTCTGGGGAGGAGCCCCAGGTGCAGGCAGTCCCTTTATTGCTCTATAAACGGAGCTGCAGTGACTGAGAACTTCTTTCCTCTGCTGCTCACAGTTAAAATTGTGCTTGTGCTGCTGCGGAGCCCATGCCAGGGAGCCGGACAGCTCCATGTCACACAGAGTTCATGCTCCTGTTTACTGATCACAGATGAGCTCACTGATGTCATGGAAACGTTCGTTGCAACCTAACAGACCACACTGGACTTGAAAGTTGGTAGATAGTGGAACGTGGATTTAGTAAGACAGTCTCAAGATACAAGAAATATCCAGCATGAAAGACGTGTAGATGACTCAGCGAGGATGCCAGAGAGAGGAGGCCGTGGCTCTTCCCTGGCTCCAGATTCTCCATTCCTGATGGTTCCCTTACCCCTGGACACCTTTACAAGTGCTGTTTGGGCCCCTTGAGCCCAAAGAGACATTAATAGGAATCTATTCAAAATTTGGGGGAAAAAATGTATTGCCAGAACACCACTGTCATCTCATGTCAATCAGGTGTTCTAATTTGGCACTTCAGTATTCTTCACAAGCGTAAATAGGAAGCTGAATTATCTGATAAACCCACTTTGCTCAGTGAGAAAAAAATCTTTTCTAAATAGGAGGTACATGAGGGGACCATTCAAGAGGCAGCGGGTCTGCCGAACCCCCGGGAGGCCGCCCGGCGGGAGTTTGACCTGCCTGTCCCTTCTCGTCGGTGGTTCTGTCTCCTGCCCGGGGGCCGCCCTCTGAGTCCTCCATCTGGTGAACTTCACGTAAAAGCTTGCCGTGCAGGCCCACTAGTGCTGCAGATTTTGACTCTATATCCTTGAAAGAGGAAGAAATTTGTGAGAGAAAAGTGTATGCTTTATAAGGAGAACACCACCTTAGTTGAAGGAGCTAGTCTGATGTGAGAAGCAAGCAAATACATCTTTGTCACAGTCTTTTTTTGAAATAAGAAATTTTCTTAGAATACTGATAAAATTTCTCCTATTCGTGTATCTCTACTTGAGCTGCACTAACGATTTGAATCTGGAAACAGGGAAGTGAAACGTCGACTCTTCTCACAGTCACCCACCCAGCATGAAATGGTTCCGGGTTGGTTTTCCTTTCCTCTCCATCTTTACCCTAACCCTGGCGGATCTTACTTTGCCACTCCCTGCCCGGGAATTTAAGTGGGAAATGCTCTCTGTATCTCAGGCCAGCTGAGCCCTGGAGTTGTCAGGAGGAGAGCCGCTGCGGCAGGGCGCCCCTGAAAGGTGGAGGTGCCCCAAGCGTGAGGTGAGGGCGTCCTTGGTGAGACGCGGTGGAACAGAGCAGAGGTTAGGTTCAACAAGGAAAGCATTGCTGGGGTGAAGAATGTGGTGAGGCCACAAAACCTGGCACAGCCAACCCCCAGAGAGCCCAGGCAGCAAATGGAAAAACCAGCATTCCATGTTGGCCCACACTTAGTGTTACCAAGAAAATCACCTGGGACCAGGGGGGGCTGAGTGTTCTCTGAGTGGGTGTTTGACACCAGGCCATCAGGACCGCAGGCCATCTGGAAAAGAACGTGGTATAGAAGAGTTTCAAAAATGACAGAGAAGGATGACTCCCATTAGGAAATCACTTGTACTTTCTAATGTGAACCAGAAACACCTTTAGGATTTTTGAACAAAATCCGAAGGATGGTGGAAAGAGATCTGGGTGCAAGGCACCCATGAGTGGACCTCAGAGATGCTGCGACCCGTGTGCCACGCCCCACTCCACCAAAGCTGGGCAACAGACTGATGAGATTCTCACGATAGCTCCCATTGGGAACTTTGATTAACTTCTTTTAATATCCCTCCCTTTCCTCCGACATCCAGTCAGCTAAGAGTGTGTGGACTGTGCAGGCCTAGGGTAAATGTTCTCATTGTGTTTGGAAACACAAGAGGGCAGTTTAAAATAGAAAGCTTTCCTCAGTTATTTCATGCCTGAAGCGTGTGTACACTAGAACATAAACCTGAAAATGTAATAAAAGCAAATAATGAGAAAGACCCAGCCAACGAAAATAAAGAGTAATTATTACAGGATTTCAAAAGGGCTTCTCTGTTACTTTTTCTTTATGCCTCAATAGAATATAAATCCAAAAGGATTTTAGGCAGTTTACTAAAAATACATTAATTACAATGGTATAAAAGTAAATAGTTGAGGAAATCAGGGAAGTGACCAAAGTAAGGAAAAAGGATAAAGCCAGGAATAAGATTAAAAATAGAATGTCTGTGAAGGTATTTATACAGATGCCTAAGTCTGAATAGTGTGATATAGTAGGAAACTCCCCAGTAGCATTCCTGGTGGGTAAAGTCGCCAGGTTTAAAAATCAGACAAACCGAGGTTTGAATCCTATTACCGCCATCCGTGAGCTGTGTTACCTGTCTGGGCTTCGGGATCCTGACCTATAAAAAAAGATAACATTTACTCCAAAGGATCGTTGGGAGGATTCAGTCCAAATAACGCACTGAAAGCACCTAGCATGATGCCTGCCAGGACAGGTGCTCAGTAATTTATAGCTGTAAAGAAATGCAAACAATCATGAATTTAAGTCATTTTCTTACAGACATAACAGAAACTAATGGCATGTGGCCAAACTGCGATTCCCTGAACTCTTAGGCTAGAGACCAGTCCTACAGGTCCCCTGTGATCTGGCTTCCTCTGAGGCTAGAGCTTTAAATACCTGGGAGAACTGATGTATTGCAAATGCGTAAAACAATTCACGTGATCTCTTGGTAAAGAATTGGCTGGCACAGGGTTCAAAGGCCCCCGTGTTCTGCCCATCAGATGAAGAGCAGGACCAACGTGTCAACGAAGCCTCCCACAGGGGACCTGAAGTGGCCGACAGACACATGAACAGATGCTCCACGTGGCTGATCATCAGGGAAATGCAGATCAAAACCACAGTGACGTATCACCTCTCACGTGTCAGAATGGCCACTATCCAGACGACAAGAAATAACAAGTGTTGGTGAGGATGCGGGGGGAAGTAGGGACCCTCGTGCACTGTTGGCGGGAATGCAAAGTGGTTCAGCCACTGTGGAAAACAGTGTGGAGATTCCTCAAAAAATTAAAAATACAACTACCATACAACCCAGTAATTCCATTTCTGGGCATTTACTGGAAGAAAATAAAACCATTAATTCAAAAAAAAAAAAGATATTTACCCCTGTGTTTATCACCACATTGTTTACAATAGCCAAGACATGGCAGCCTTTATATTGTGTCTCTTTCCCCATGTTTTATTAAGAAAAGTTTCAAATATAAAGCAGTGAACACATGCACACACCATCTGTATTTTACTTTATTTACCACATATCCCTCGACTACCTCTATTCATGCACTAATCCACATTATTTTTAAAATACATGTCCCAGAGTGCGCTGTACCCTAAATCCTTAAGCATGCCTATCATCAGCTTCAGTTTAATACCTTGTTTTTTATTGTAAAACTTACATACAATGAAATGTACAAATCTTAAACGTACATTCACTGAGTTTGGACAAATGAATACATCCGTGTAACCTAAACCCTCTTCAACATGTAAAACCATTACTGAAACTTCTGTCACCAGAAAATCTCTTCACAGTTGTGCACCATCACCACTGGAGTATAGACCTTTTTCATAGCCCCACAAAGAGACCCCCCCAGCCGTTAGCAGCCACTCCCCATTCCGCCCTCCTCCCAGCCCCTGGCAACCCCTACTTGGCTTTCTGTCTCTATGGGTTTTACCTCTTCTGGGAATTACATCACGTGGGACCTTTCATGTCTGGCTTCTTTCTCTTAGTAAAATGTTTTCAGGTTCATGTTGAATCATGTATCAACATCTCAATGCTTTTTATGGCTGAATAATAGTTCAATGTGTAGATGGCATTCTTTTTTAATTTGTTCATCATTTGGACTTTGGGATAGTTTCTGTTTTTGGAATGAATAACAATGAATATTCATGTACAAGTCTTTGTGTGAACATGTTTTCATTTTGCTTGAATATATACCTAGGTGTGGAATTGATGAGTCATTCGGCAATCCTGTGATTACCTTTGAGGAACTGCCAAACTGTTTTCCAAAGCGACGGCACCATCCCACCTTCCCGCCAGCAGTGTAGGAGGGTTCCAGTTTCTCCACAGCCTCGCCAGCGGTCGTCATTGTCCATCCGAGTGTGAAGTGGTATCTCACTGTGGTTTTGATTTGTGTTTCCCCAATGACTAATGGTATCAAGTATATTTTCATGTGTTTGCTGGAATTGTGTATATGTATTTTTTTGGAGAAACGTCTATTCAAACCCTTTGCCCATTTTTAAATTGGGTTGTCTTTATTGTTAAGTTTCAGAGGTTTTTAAAAAATATATATTTTAGATAAAAAAATATATATTTTAGATAAAAGTCCCTTATCAGAAAGATAACTTGCCAATATTTTCTCCCCTTCTGCAAGCTGTCTTTTTACTTTTTTGATGGTTTTCATATAAACAGTAAGTCTTTTATTTTGATGAAGTCTAATTTATCCATTTTTGCTTCTGTGGCTTTTACCTCTGGTGTCCGAGGTCAACTGTGCCTGTAATATACTTGAGTAAATGGTATGATGAAGGGATTAACTTGAAAAGAAATACCAATTAACTCAGCACTTGTCCACACCATTCTTATCGATATTCATATTGTGCCAAATACAGAACATGGAGATGTCAGGAAAATATAAATCAATATAACCTATGAGCAACTGATATAAACAAAGTATGTATATGTACCAGATTTGATAAACTGATCATTTGGCAAGTTGTTGTCTTGACCTAAATCTTTTATAATTCTGCAGCTTTTGTAATCATAGCTCCAGTAATATTAGGGAACGAGACAAGTAGCATCAGGTATCAGACATTTTCAATACATTTATTATTATTATTATTATTATTATTGTATTAATAATACAACAATTATTATTATTGTTATTTTGCTTGATGATGATTAAAGAGAATTTCAACATTTCTAGAAGAAACAGTTGAGCTAAGAGTTTAAGCTTAAAGGAAATTTAAGCTTATCCCTTTGGCTCTGTATGGAATACAAAATAAAATCTCCTTGTGTAAGAGAACTGCCACCAGGAAAGGATTGTACATTTTGAGGCTTAATGACTTGCCAGCATGAAAGAATTACTAACAAAGAAACTCTGACTACTGTAAAATCAACTTTGTGATTGTAATTAACTTTGGAATTAGTCTGCTGGCTAAATTGTACTGCCACCATCATAGGCAGGCAACTTAGACATTAGTTGAAAATAACACTTTTATTTTTATCATGCATTATTTTTACAAAAGCCTTTTATACTTTCCAAACATAAATGGAGTTTCAAAATATGCCTGATTAATGGGTTGTACAAATATTTGATCAGATACCTGTAATCGTATCTAAAGAGTAAACATTTTAGTAAGTCAAGAAGAAACATAACACTAAAATATGTACTTTATAGATAAGTTACTTTCTTCTTTGTCTGAAGTCCATATGTCCTCTTCCACCTCTCATCTAATTAATTCTAAATCACTCATTAAGCCTTGGCCCAGGCACCCCTTTCCAAAAGTCTTCCCCTGCTCACATGCATGCATACACACACACACACACACACACACACACACACACACACACACACTCCCCTCTTAGGCCATTGCTCCCTCAAAACTCTTACAGCTCTTTTGTGAGGTTGATGATACTGTTCACACTTCTCTGTGGCGTGTCCTGTCACCACGCTACAAATGCTTGAAGGCAGCAACTGTCTTGATGGTTTTGTATCACCCAAGATCTGATATTTACCAGTGTTGAATGAACTAATTAATGCCGTGCAGTGTCAGTCTACTGCTGTTTCCATAAAACTAAAAGACAAAAATAAATTGTTATGTTAATTGGAAGGAAAGAGGTAAAATCAGCACTTTCAGATTATATAACTGTATTCTCAGAAAACCAAAGAGAAGCATCTGAAAAATTATTCTAAATAACAGAAGGATTGAATGAAGTTGCATACAAAAGTAATGTTTTGAAATCATTGATCTTTCTATATACAAATAAGAATCTTGTAAAACTGCACTGTCCAACACAGTAGCCACTAGCCAGATATAACTACTTAAATTATTAATTCAGTTATTGAAATTAAACACAATTTAAAATTTGGCTCATTACTGACATTAGCCATAATCCAAAGTCCTCAGTCATCACTTGACATTTGGAGGGAAGTAGACAATCTGGAACTATTTCTCATAAACCATATGAAAAAAATAAAAACAATAAAAGCCAGGAAAATGGAAAAATATGTAATAGCAAAAGATTGGAAGCAACCAGCATCCCCTTTGATGATTAATTACATTATGGTATATCCACTCAGTGTAATAGTGTTTAGCCATTGGGGAAGAAAATGTGTAGGTCTGTTATGTTCTGATACGGACTGCAGACGGAGAATGTGTGTAAGAAGAAACAGGTGGTGAGCGGCCGCTTGTGTAGAATCTGTGTGGAGGCTTGTGTATGTGGACAATGTCTCTGGAAGGGAGACATGAAGAAACCGGTTTCCTCCAGGAGGAGACTAGTAGCTCTGGGACAGGGGAGAGAAGAGACTTTGTTTACACCGAGGGCTCTTTTTCTACCTTTGAATTTTGCGTTATATATATGAATTAACTACTTTCAAAATGAGATATTTTATAAAAACCAAAGCCTAAAATGTATAGAAATACTGCCTCTCCCCTATCTCCAACCCCAGTTCCAAGTTAATTTAAACTGCTTACATAAAAGCTGCAGAAGGTCTAGGGGCAGTAATTTCAGGCTTCAGTACAGTAAATGCTCATCTAGAAAGTTAGAACTTGGCAGCCTGTTTAACAAGTGTTTGTTTAGTAAGTAATGCAGACCTGGTATCAATGCACTTAGGAGGTCTTGTTCAGATGATAATTTATAATATTTTAAGAAGACTTTCTTTTAAAGGGAGTACTTTGAATTATAGCAAAAGTGAAGGGCTGAAGGAGTTGGTAGTTATTCCACAATATAAAAATAGAATTGGGCTGAGTGATGTGAAGTGAGAATTCTAAATAGAATTTCATAGAGTGGAGCTCAGAGCTTCTGCAGCACTGTCCGCGGTACTCCGCATAGAGGCCACTATACCCAGCAGCCACTGTCACAGAGCGGCTTCACCGTGGGGGCCTCCCCTGCCCACCCCACCTCTGCCTCACATTACAGTTCCTGATCTCACACCCAACACAGACCACATCTCCTTTGCCCATGGGAATGGCGCTGTCTAATTCCACCATTCGCTGTTTGGCAGCTCAGACAATTTAGATCTTTTAAAAGGCAGAGTGAATTTTTCTGGGTATCAAAATGATATTCTTGAAGCCTGAAGAAATTATTCTAGAATGAGTTTATCTGTCAAAGACTACCCTAGAAAACACCTGGATAGAAAAAATTCTGCCGTTAAACATAATGTAACATTTAACAATTTCTTTATACCAGCAGTTGTTTTAAAATTAAAGACAACTGAGTAAAACATGATGTAAATCTAATTGTAATTAAATTTACTATCCAGTAATTGTATAATTGTATACAGGCTTCATTGGTAAAAAACACAACCCCTCTGAGCCTCAATTTCTTCATCCATCAAATGGGTGTAATAATACATGCTCTACAAACACTGGCAATTACTGTGAGAACTGAAGTTGGGAAGGCAATCTGAAAGATGTCAAACAATCTTAAATTGCCCATTATCATTCCTTGTTAAGAAAGGGGCCACCAATCCCTTTTAAATATATCTGACTTGTTTAATTCTTTCTGTCTTCACCACCACGAAGGTTGCCAAGTACCTAGCACTGAATCAGTGGTTTAACTTTCTGTCCAGCAAAATGAAAATTTTAAAACTAGATGCAAAATGCCTTTCTTTAGCATTAAAAAAGTATTGGAAACAATTTTTAGAAATACCACATTATCCTGGTGGGAAGACAACGAGCATCCTTGCTAAGGGGAAGCGTCATGGACGTGTACGACCTGTGCAGTCATGCGGGAATTCACATTTAGGAGGTCCGAAGTGTGGTTTGGTTTCATTTTTGGTTTAATGCCCCAGTGATGTCCTTTTGAAATCCTTCATAATTTTTGGACAAGGGGTCCTGCATGTTCGGTCTGTGTGCTGGAGCTTACAGAGGATGCGGTTGGCCCTGGCGGGGACACACAAGGACCCAAATGGAGCTCTGGCCCGAGTGCGGCTTGCAGTGCATCCAGGGGTCTGCAGACCCCCCTTTAGTGCTCTCCTGGCCTCTGAATATGCTCGTTCTGCTTAACAGACTTAAGCAGACAGGGGAGACACTCTGACTTACCTGACACAACCTCACACTCCCCCCTTGGCCTGTGGTGTAAGAGCCGTGGTGAAGCCAGCTAAGCGGAGGGCTCTGAAGCTGCCACTCACACACACGCAGCCAAGATGGTAAATCAAAAACAACGTTGCATCAGAGAGGGGCTAGCTGCCATTGGTGCTACTCTTAAAAACTTAAAGAATGCAGGGTGGTGGATGGACACCGTGGTATCTCCACTTCATGCGCCAGTCCGTCCCCTGACAGAAACCAATCAAACCCACAAACGGGATCTGAGGGCTAACAGCGGACTGTTCAAACGTCAACAAGTAGCACTGATGGCCGGGGTTCCACACACTCTCTCTTTGCCAGGCTCCATTTAAATGTCATCAACTGTCCAAACAATCGCTCTTTCTCTTTTAAGGTCCACACTCCCATATGGAACCACCTTTGCGTGTACACGTCAGTACGACGGTTGTGTGTCTCAGGTCATCCACAGTCTTAAGAGAACAGGTCTTTCATCTTGATGACTGCCAACGTGAGTTGTGTCTGGTGTTGCCTCGTCTCAGGCACACGATGTCACCCCTTCCCAGTACCCGCTGATATTAACTTTGATCTCCTGTCACCGGCTGTCTGCCAATGATGCTCCACTCTAACACCAACCCCCCCCTTCATATTTGATGGCATTTTGTGCAGAGACACCGGAGTGCCAGTACTCATTCCTCACCAGACTTCCACCAGCAGCCTAGTGCGCATCAGCTGCCACTGACTGGGCCGCCAGATGGTCATCGTCTACTTCCATGATTCCTTCTCCCACTATGAGCTGAAAGAGCCTTCCCTTCTGCCTTATTTGCCTGTAACTGTACGGATTCACAGATCCACTCAAGGGTTATAATCCTTTACCTTTGTTATTTATTTTTATGCTGTGATGGTCCCCATTTTGGCCAGGG